ATGGAATAAAAAACACTCAAAAAAAACCCAAACAAAGCAAAACAGAAACCCTCATTCCTGAAGCAAACTTTAGTCTTACCCTCTTATCCTTAGCATCTTTGACCTATTCACAAGTTGGACTCCCTTCAATCAAAGCACAGCTGATTTCATGTGGCCATAATTAATTATCGGGGACAGCAATGAAAGAATTCATTATTATCTGTAAAAATTGCAGGATTTCCTGAAATGCAATTATGAATTATAAGGATTGGCTTCTAGCTAGTGTTTGTTGCTTTATTTTTATCCCATCTCTGTGAATTCTTAGGCTACTTTTTCAGCTGGTTGTAAATTTTGTCGCTGGAGCTGAATTGACTGTCCTGTCTGCATAATAACTATACCAAATAAAAAGTACCGCAGTCATATTCATTTATCTTAAAAGACTCCATAGGCCCATTTTGTCTTATTGGTATGTTTTCCAAGCTTAGAAGCCATTGTCCTCATTCTTCTTCAGATCCCACCCCTGATCATGAAACAGGTTTGTAATCAGACCATTCCCCACCCCCTCCCCCAATCCTCCCCCACCGCACAATGACAAATTAAAGACAAGGAGTTAATTTAGATTATTTAAAGAGGCCAAAAAAATTGTCATTTAACACTCATCTTTAAAGTAATGTAAAACATTGCCAAATCACACATTTATGCATTATTAATCACATGTACTAGTTCCTTATCCCTCTTGGTAGACAGGTCTCTTTATCAGTGGTCAAATCATCTGCACCCAAATTTAGAGAAATATTTGGAAGCATCAAACTATAGAATTTGTATCTGATCAAAGTGATCACAGTAAATGAACACTTTAGTCTTTTGTCTCTGGTTCAAGATCTAAATCTTTCACTGATTTTTCTAATCACTCAACTTTTTATTCTTTTCTGTCATTGTTATTACTATTATGCCTCAGAGGTAACCTAACATTTGTATTGCTGACAGCTGTCTTTCAAAGCCACATTCCGTTTGACACTTTAGTTGGATTGTAATAATCCCAAATGGTCCTCTGATTTTGGGAAGGACCCAAGTGGGCATATTTCCACACATGAGATCAAAGGAAAGAAGCAATTAGCTCTTTATTGTGCAGTATATCAAACATCTTTCACTTGCATAACATTTTTCAAGCTTTGCAATTGTGACTCACTCCTTTTCCTTCACTTTAGAGCCCGGAAGAGTGGGTAAAATGAGATAATATTTTGAAACTCAGAGAAAGCAATTGGACAGCAATGCTGGATATTGAATTTTACAAACAAGTTCAAAGAAATAATAGCCATGTGAACAGATTGTCATGCCCATCATAAATTAGCAGTAAGTCCTCTTAATGCACTAAGGAACTATTCATTACATGGAAACAACATGGTGCCTGACCTTGGGGAGCTAGTCTCAGATAATGTCTTTGAAGTCATTTCATTCTTGTTCTTACTTCAACTATCTTAGACATGTGTCTTTATATAGTCCCCTTGAGGGTGGGGACCATATCTGAATGACTCCATGTGTTTCCTAACACAAATTGAAGATTGAAAGTTGGATAGTATAAGGGAAAAAAAGAAATCATTAATTTAATCATTTGATTTTAATTTTATCTGATATGGCATTTTGTTTTCTTTGGTAGTGCTTTCCTATTATAAAAGGGTTACATGAATTCTTGCTAACTTTAAATTTTTTTTGTTTATTAGGTATGTAAATCATATTTATATTATTTTTTAAATAAATTTATACAGTAAAACTAAAAACTTCTGTCTTTACAGCACATACCCTCCCTCCCCCACTGAAGACTTCATTAGCAATTTGGTACATCACTCCATTTGAAACACACTCTTGATTTTAATCCCATGCAGTTAAAATTCAGGCTGTCAACATTTATGGTTGCTGGATTTATATAACATTGGAGTTTATTTAGAACTACCTTATTTCTTCTTTAACATTTTTAGGGAACAGTAACAGTTACAGATTCAGTCTATGGTAGGTTGATGATAGACTCAGTTAATATTGATGAATGAATATCTGGTATTGAAAGTCCCCTCTCATCATTGCTTGTTTTATTCCTTCTCAAATGGTCTTGGTTCTTTTCCTACTAAAGTTTTTAAGATGTATTTCAGAATTTCTTTGCCATGTTCTCTCCCAATTCTGCTGTGATTACCATTAGAATAGTACTTTAATTGGCCTGGGAGGATTTGCCATAATATGTGTTTCCATTTATTCATGTTTTCTTTAATGTCTCATTAAACTTTTGATGTACTTTTCACCAGCATAATTGTTGAACTTAATTAAGTTGTACTAATTGTAATAAGATCTTTTCTCTAATATATTTCTTATTGATAGACCATAGAAAATTATGTAATTTTTAAATATTCACTTCATAATATCTCATTATTTTTCAGTGGATTCTTTTGGGTTTTCAGGGTAAACAATCATATTGCTACAAATAACTCTTCGCCAATTTTCTATAACAAAATATTTCATAATTATAAAGTTTACATTCATTAAATAAATTGTATATGCCGCTGTTAGAGTGCACAATATTTTTTAAGGCTTTTTAAAGGCTCCTGGATTCAGTTTACAATCGCATTTTAGGAGGACTTTTTACATCTCTATTTTGACAAATGAAAATGGAAATAATTCTTTATGTTTGTCAGCTGACAGGATTCAGCATCAGGGTGCTACTAGCTTAACAAGGGAATTAATAAACATACCTTCTTTGATTATTTCCTGCAATAGTTTTCAAAGGAAACCAACTGAATTAAGTCTTTATATCTCTTCTGTGAAACACATCCAAGACTGTTGTAAGCATCTACCATTATCCAACATCTGTAATGCAACACTAAATGCAACCCTGAAATCACACAAAACATTAAAATAATTTATAAAGAATGATGACCTTTTGCATGAGGATGGACCTTTATCTATTTTACATGTGATTAGCACGCAGATCATCAGGCAATTGCAAAAGCCAGAATTTAAGATAAAATTATGCAAACAAAATTAACCTTACCTTGACTTCAAAAAACTGGAATAATATTTTTCAGGGTTGAATATAATATTTATGCTTAAGTGTTTCCTTAAATACACTTCCTAAAAACTGTTCACCAATCTTGCTATCAGCACAAACCTCCTCCAAAATGGACAGAACCTTCAGGAAAACATTTGTGCCCCTCCCCAGCCTATCACTAAGTTGATGTAGAAGGACCTGCACATAATAGAAACTTACAACCATGGGGCCTGGAATATTAATTAGTGGTTAGCTGCAAAATGAGCTCTAAATTATGACCCATAGGGATTCCTTACCACAACCCTCTGATTTCATTTGACGTCTTAAGAGTCACTTCATCTGAGGGCCTGATCATAAAAAAACAAAAGTCCTGTAGTTAGAAGAATGCAAGTCATTTTTGGGGGGTTAGCAGTGTATGACTGGTGTTAAAACACATAACTATTACATTTTTTTTCCTTTAAAAGGAGAATAGCCTCAACAGTTTTATGATTACAAAGGAATTCACATTCATTGTATTAAATTTGAAAAGTCAATACCAAAAGTTATGAGGAATTCATTTTAAATCGCCTGTAATTCCTCTATCTAAAGATCCCTACTGTTAACATTTTGGTGTAGACATTTATAGAATTTCTATTCAAGTAAATCTAAAAAAGTTCATGCTCACTTGCAACATAACTAAAAATACTTATCTTCAAAATAGATGTCACATATTTTTCTCAAATATTCTGTAATTTTGGAACTGTTTTCTTTCACATGGAATCAAAAAACATGTGCCTAAATCATTATATAGCAAACAAAACAATAAAAAAAATCCATGTGAGCTAGTGTTGACTTCATTGGTTATCAATAATAAAGTTTATGTGTCCATATTGACTGAAAATAATGTCTTCCAGTTGCATTGATATGATAGAATTAATGATTTGTTATTCATTTGTAAAGGCATCCAAAACCTCTTGGCCAGTATTTTCTCTGCTTCCTACTTCCCAACCCTCCCCGCAATCTGTCCTTACCCTCTCCTTCCCCCCATCACAGCCCACCTCATTCCCTCTGATCATTAGTGCTAACAACCTGAGCTATATTTACCCAGAGATTAAAACTGATTATTATAGGATTTCACCAGGGCAACTTTTTGTAAACTGTACAAAATAAACTGTAAATATGGCATCTTTGTTTGTATATTTCTGTATGCTGATATTCATGAAATATCTGTGAATGGAATCACAGAGAAACAATATACATTGCCTCTGGGGAGGAATTTGAGTGACTGGATTTGAGAGGCAGAGATGGGAAGGACATATTTTATTATATACCCTTTTGCACTGTATAAATGCTTTACAAAGCTACCTATTAAAAGATTTTTAAGATAAAAATATACATATGTATAAACATATATAAAGTTATTAGCTTAGAGGATATAGGGTGATTGATCCTTCAGATTCCATAACTTCTAAGTGCCCAGAGAAATGAAACCACCAACTCCACTAATTGGAACTGTGTCAGGTTACGGAAATAGAAAAGTATTTTTTCCTTTCTCTGAAAACAGTTTTAGTTTCCATTCTGTAAGAAGGTGCCATGACAGGTTCAGAGGACCACGTTTGAATCAGTGACCCAGCAAAGGCACATAGTATATCTTCTCTGTATGTTAGCATCTGACCTAAATACACACACACACACACACACACACACACACACACACACACACACACACACACACATGCAGCAGTGTGATAGAAAAACCATCTGAGACCATTCCTTAGTGGCATTGGAGCCAGCTGCCCTGAGGTAAGAAAAATGGCAGAAATTCTAATTTCCATCTTGGTTCTTTTTGGAAGATCTCAGGCCCTTGGTCATGTAAGTCATATTTATGACCTCTGGGCAGCATTTGTGTGATAAACTGCTGTTCGGTTCTGTGAACTCGTTGTACTTACTCTATGCCAGGCTCAAATGTCCTTAGCTGGCCTCAGTTTTTTCTGCTCTCTATTTGCAGGTAGTGAAATCAAAGTCATCCAAAGAATATCATTTTATTAAAATGAAACAATCAAGAAATCATATTGTGGGAAAATATTTCAGCAAGCAAAGCAATCTACAACAGCGAGAAAGCTCTGTGACAAGTGCTCAGTCACCATATCACGTCAGAGGTCCAGTTAATCAGGTTTACTCTGAAATCCTTCTCAGCAGACTGTGTGCAGGTACAAGGACTGTGTAGACTCGCTGCAGGAGGACTGAGTTTGGGAGTGGAGACAAGGCACCACCAGGACGACATCTAAGAACCAAATCCTGTACCTCACATGTCTTTTGGACCCACAACCCCACTCCCACACCCCAGCACATGTGTGTACCCCAGGGCCCACACAGCTAAAAAAAAAATAGTGACAATAACACCTTTTTCTACAGCTTTATGAAGTCAAGTGTACACCTGAAAATCAGTTGGTTTCAAAGGGTAAGAGAGAGGTAGAAAAATGTTACTTGAAGGGTAATCATAAACTAGAACCACTGTAGGCTATTGACCATTGTGTTAATGAAGAGAAATACAGACACTTGAATGACATGGAAAAAGGATACTGCTCTTGAGTATCGTGTTACCTTCTCTATCAGTACATTAATACTAAAAAGGGAAAAAAGCAATTACATTCCATGTGCAAGTAGGAATTGAGCTTGTGTCCTTTACCAGGAGAAAATGTGGTGTTTATGATGGCTTAAGCTTTTGTGACTCTAGTGCTTAGGAAAAACATCTCTTCCTATTATTTTTAAATTTTATAATTGAAAGGAAAAGAATAGGAATGCTCCATGAGGGAATTCGAAGAGATCCTACAAGAGAGATAGGAAGTGTAATATATTACATTTAAAACACCGATGTAGTTAACTTTGCACTCTGTACTTTTCATAAACATTCCCTCCTATCCTGCCTGTGAATTTGGATGGGTGACTGCAGTCTAAGTTGATCACATACATAATTTTAAAGTGACAAACAAAATACAGTTCCTCGTGTATTACTTTATTATGTTTCACTGATGATATTACTTAAGAAAGCTTTTGTTTGCCATTAAAGCCCTATGCAATTTAAGATTACAATTACATTTTATATAAACATTTTGCAAAGGATTAGGCATTCTCTCAAGTGCATAGGTATTTATTTCCATAGAGCGTTATACATGTCCACAAATACAACTATGTTACTAGTAATGGTATTTTCATTTTCCTGGGCAACTGTATCTAATCCAAATTTAAAACAGGCATAAAACTATTTTTTATTAAAACTGTGGCATACATATAAAACATATCAAATTCTAGCATTGAGAACTTTCTCTTCTATATTTCCATTTCAAAATAGTAAATACATTTTACAAAGGTTTTGTTGTGAGATAACATCACACAGTTACCGGGTTTTTAAAGGCTTATCCTTCTTTTCATAAAAATAATGCTGAGAGGGTAAATTCAATACATGGCTGAAAATACCAAATGTACAAATACCTCAATTTCATTACCATACAAAAAACAAAACATTTCTATTGATCAGTTCGTTAGTATGAATATCCAACTCCTTAAAAGTCTATTTTTATATATATTTTTATATGTAAGTAAACATGAATTTATATTTAACTGTCTAAAATTATATTTAAGTACAAATATCACTTGATATAAACAATACATATCTGGATCTGTGAGATAGATTTTCAAAAAGAATGTGATAAAATAAGCTTTTGATGTGAAAGATTTTTCTAATATCTGCAGCTCTATGCAAGCATCAGTTTCAGGCTTTCAAAGATTGTCTTTTAATGATATAAAATGTTGCCAATTCATGCAGCTTCTACATCAAGTTTTAATGTATTTACATATACTATAACAGGATTATAGTTGGTGGAAGTTTTTTGGAATTTACTCGCAAGCCAACTGTAATAACTGTCTGACTGAGGTTAATCTGGCAATTAACCTCTTCATCATTGAAATAATAATGATTTTAGAAACAATTGTAATAATACTATTAATAAATAAATGTCTTCTAGTAATAGTTTGTGTTCAGAGAGTATCTCTTATTTTCCTTTTTCCCGGAGATGTGCATGCTTACAATAGTGACTACTTGGCCAGGATATTCTCATGCAGATTCCACTGTTGGAGTATGGCTTAACAAGATAAGCATATAGTTTTTTCCAACCCTGATAAGTCTCCAAATTTTGATCAAATGAACTCTCTGCTGCTCTATGCCCACAACTTTTGGACGCATTGCAGTGACAAGCATTTTTTTTTTTTAAGATAAGGCACTAAAATACTGGGAATCACTTTAGTAACTCCTTAACTGAAACAAAAACAAAAACACACATTTTGTTTTACCTTGAGAAAATAGGTGTGTGTGTATGTATGTGACTGTGTATTTTTATGTGCTTAACAAGTTCATAATTGGAGTGGGAAAAATAGGAATAGGCATTTTCAACATATTTTTAGATGTAAAAGTTAAAGGAAGTGTATTATTTTGGGTAAAAATTAATCAGAATCCAACCTAAACTAAAGAAAACATTTATAATATAACAAGTTAAGAATAACTGTATGAGCATTTCCACGCATCACTGCTGACATTGTGCGTGTGTGTGCGTGTGAGTGTTTAAAGGCACAGTGAACTGTTTGCCAGCCATCCGAGTGGATGGATAGGATCCTGTGGGAACAGAATGCAAAAGGAGGGTCACCATTGCCTGCCAGGTGGGTTTCTGTTTAGGTCATTTAATCTTCCTTACATTAGTTGCCCCTGAGTCTAGCAGTCATCTCAATGAAACAATGATTCCCACTTAGAAAGCATGGGAAGAAATCACTCATTTTTGAAATGAAAGTAGTTCTGGTGATGTTTATGGCAAAGACACAAGGCTGTTGTACGTCTCATTTCTTCTTTTAGTTCTGTTTCTGAAGGGTTCCAAGAAGAAATACAGAAAGTAGTCAAAAGTTATGTAACCCAGTAAGAATTATTTCCAAGTTCTGATGCTGTGGCATGAGTGGGGGGAGGGCGGTGGAGGCCTAACATCGTAAGAAGGTTTAAGAGCCTGGAGAGATGATTAGGGTTAGAATCTTATTAAATATTATCGTATGAACTCCATAAGTTGAGAAAAGACTGAAAGAATCATCAACATCTAAAGTTTCTTTCTGTGAATTTTCATCTTATAAAAAGAAACAAATCAAAAAATGACACTGAAATCAGTGGCCAAGATTATCACGTTTAAAATGAACATAGTTTTGAGTAAGCTCACATGGGCTGATAAACTTCAAAAACATATATCCACGTACAAAGTGATACTACAGCAGATTCTCTGCAAATGCTACTGTAGCTTTCTTTTGAAAGTGTATTTAAAGTTCAAATCATTCTGGTTGCTCTTGGAAACTAAGGCGTTTTTTTAGATCACTTAGACTTAAGGGGATGAACCAGAAGTTGTCAGAAACCCCAAAGACGGCAGGAGAGTGCCAGTGCCTACAGACTGGATTTTATATTTGGCACAGCTTCCAAGGTTTCATACTGTCGAAGAATCTTTTATCATGTTTTTATTGCTGCAGTAACTGCTATTATCAATATACATATTTCTTTTATGATTCAGTCACTGGGTGTACGGGGCCAGAGAACTCATTTTTTTTTTCTAATATAGACCATGCAAGCCTCCTAAAATGATTCTCCATTTGTTTTCTTTATGTTCATTGAAATATAAAGAATTTGTTTTATGGCTATATTAAATGTCAGATCATTATGCTTTAATACAATCAAAATACTAATTCTTCAAACCTATCAAGAATATTTCTAATTCGTAAGTCTATGCACAATGTAAATGAAGATAATGAATTAAACCCAACTAATAGTAAGAACAAAATTAAAATAAACACTCTTAGAGAAAACATTATAAGAGGGTTTTATATCCCTACTGAGTTGTCATGTTAGGTTTTGAATTTGACTTATGCTGACTGGCTAGTTGTAAGGACACTTTTAATATATATAACCAAGGTATTTTCTTATGAAATTTATATACAGCATTATATTATTATTTTATTACATGAAAAAATGATTCCTATAAAATTCGTTACAATGTTCAGATATTTTTTAAAAGCAAAGTAATTATAATTGGCTATTCACACATCAAAATTCAGAAGTAACATAATCTCATAAGTATAAAATGTATACAGTTGATTCTCAACTATGTAATGACTCCTCCTATTTTATGCTTGGCTGGTAAAATACATCAATTTGATGCAGCCTTTAGTGACAGGCTAAATGATTTGATGGTGATGATATATGATTTGTTTAGATATTTTGTTCAATTGTATTTTTATTTTTTTTCTATAAAAACATCTGTTCAAAATCTGCAGATTGAAATCTCAGTGCACAGCATCAAGGTCAACTTTCAAATTTTCTTTACACTCCATAATTTAATTTTTATTTGGTCTATAATTGGTATGCATTTAAAAAATTATGAATATTGGGAAAATATAAAGAACATTACAATGAAACAGGCATGTGTTGTAAAATAAAAATCAATTGTATATCTGCTAATCTCCACCTTGATGTTAGAGGTTGTTTGGTCTGGAATAGATCTTCTTACATTCTTCACAGGTGAAGATCTTCGAATTCAGAATTCCTGATGTCCTTTTGCAGTTAATACATGGAGGCGAGAGAGTGGTATAAAATGAGCAAACGTGGCTTAATTAACCCGTGAGAGGCTTACAGCAGTCAGAACAGGGTGAGGAGGGGCTGCAGCACAGACCTTCACCCAGGAGAGCCTCCTGGATCCTAATATGGATTTAAAAATTGAGCACCTTCTCCTTCTGCCTTTGACAGATCTCGGACATCTCTTCAAACATCTTCGTAAGATTCAAGTCACTTTGGAGGTTCTCATTCCTAAGGAAAAAAGAAATAATAATTCTCAAACTTTATTGGACCAAATATTAGAACCTAGATTAACCAGAGCAGATGAATGTGCCCTGAATGACACCTACTTATTTCCCATCAGGGAGAACAGGAAACCACCTCTACCCATCAATACAGTATACCCTCTAGAGACCCTGAAATAGCGATTATTGCTCACTTAATATTTTCACCCATAGAATCATTCACCCACCACATGACGTTTCCTACTTGTCTGTACTTTTGCCTTTGAAATGGGACTCGTGAGGTCTTTTCTTTGCGCATTTAATATGTAATACAAGATGCATGCAAAAACTTAGGTTTTTACGTTTTCCTCCTTGCCTTAATTACGTGTAACATGAAGCTTCTGTTTTAACAGGCATGAGCTTTCCAATTTTACAGTATCATAAAAAGAGTTTATGAGCCTTTTGTTAAAAATCAGTGCCTATGTCACTGGCAGGGCATGAAATGATTTGCAGCTACTTCTACTTACAAGAAAAAATTTGGTCTGAATTCAGAGTAATACCGGAGGAAACTGAAACAATGCCTTTTTAGCCTAAAATGGTTTAGTCATCAAATGGCACAGTTTTGAGTTCATCAGTTTCTACCACATGTGCACATCCCCTGGGGAAAACCTGGACTCTGTTCATACTTGTCTCTAAAGAGGCCCCATTTCAATGTTCATATTAGTTATGCAAAATCAATGGCATGTTTTTAAAGGGTGTGGATACAACCCTGAGCACAAGTTACTCCTGCCAAGAAAGGAATCATTTCAATAGGACGGAGTTCCATGGCCATAGTATTGGTAAACATCCGAAGCTCTCTCTACTGTATAAATAAATTGATATCTTCCATGAATTATTTATGGATTCTGAAGTGAGGCTGATACAGACATTTCATCTCAGGTTCCTATTTCCCAGAAGAATGGGAAGTCTCAAGTGGGCAATCGGCCTGAATGGTGTTTTATTTTTCCGTGTCCTGGGGTCATAAGTCTTTGAAGTACTGAGTTTCTGGAAGTCAATTTCTCTTCCTACAGAAGCCTCCCTGGGTATCCTCTTCAATGAACTGTTATCAAACACAGTGAAAACACCTATCTTCCCCTTACCACAGTGCACTGACTTGCCTGCTGCCTCTGCAGACTGCGGGAGCCCCAAACCAAGCCTTTCCTTGTCTGTGTGTGGGCACAGCATGTCCGATAAGGGACCCAGAAACAGGAATTCGGCATTATTTTAAACAAAGACTCATACTGAGTAAATATACATGCACACAGGTGTGTGTAAGGGTACGTGTTTGTGCGTACACACACACACACACACGCAAAACGAAATAGATGATAGAGAAATTCTAAGTAACCTTATATCCTCGTATTCGTTTCTTTAAAACATTCCTCTTTTTCACTTAGAGCAGTGTGTGAACCTATAGAAGAACAGGTTCTCTCTCTCTGGATGCCTTAGCCAGGTGCTCGCCTGGACATGTGGGGAATGTGGTTGCGGGCCTCTGCCAAGCGGCGCGGGGAGGATACCCGAGGGGAGTTATCTGGCAGATGCTTCTCCTGGGAGGTGACAAGCCACCAAACGGCCAGAAGTCATAAGGAGAAGATGCTGGGAAAGGCTTGACCACAGCGTGACGGCTGCCACTGTTAAAAGGACAAGGAGAACCTGGGAGGAGAAAGCAGCCCGGGCAGCCACGTATCCTGCTGGAAAGAAGCGGCTCGGTGGGGCTGTCTGATAGGAGTCCCCCTTCGGAGGGATTCCTGCCCAGCGCCCCGCCCCTCTGCCCTCCTCTCCACCCCGCCGCCTTTCTGAGCGGCTCTGTTCCCAGAAGGCCGCGGCAGCAGCCGCTTCAGTCCTAGGGGCTGCGGCAGAGGGACCCCTACCCCCCGCTGGGCGGACGGCACTGGGCGGGATCATAGCTCTACGGCTCATTCGGCTAAAACACAACAGCCTTTCCCACAAGTCAAATTTGTTTTCGGCCTCCACCTCCTCGACTGGATTATCCCCCCTATTGTTATTTCTGCAGTCCCTGTGTCCATCCCTGTCATGGTACTGCGCAGATATAGGAGTCAAGTCATCCATCATCACCTTTTTACGTGCGACCCCACTAGCCTTAGCCCCTGGACTGACTCTTACTCATCTTTCTGC